GGATCTGGGACAACGTCCAGGGGGGCCTACCTGCTCGTTAATTCCTTGTTGCCTCAGCTGTTGCTCCCGAAGGGCCTTCCTCTCCTGCATGGCTCTGGCCAGCTTCTTCTTCTAAGGAAGAAAAGGCAAGGGTGGCTGCCCCCTTGGCGAAAGGGACACCTGCTCCCCTTTCTGAATGGAGGAGCGACTGTTGGAAACTGGGACAGAATCAGGGATGCTACCTTGTCCCTTGTCCCGTTTCCCCTCAGTTACGGTGTCCTGCCAACCTGTATTATCACAAGCGCTAGCTTCCTCCAGGCTTCTGGAACGGCACGCCATGTGCCATACTGTCCTCCTCCGGGAGGTCCTCGGCTGAGCTGGGAAAGGTAAGGTCTGCCTCCAACGCCACCACTCACCAGGTAGATGTTGTACTTCAGCAGCCTCTTCCTGGCGTCAGAGACGCTTGACCCCAGCTCCCTCAGTTTGGCCTTCATGTCCACCATCAGGTGGGCAGGAGGGTCCTGGTGGCCCTGGAGCTTGGTGACTTCGGGCAAGAGAGGCCCCAAGGCGGCATACAAAGCAGAAATGAAGTTCCTGGAATCAGAACACCAGGAGACCTTCCTTTAGCAGGTGCCCCGGCCCAGCAGCTGCTCCTCCAAGGGCTGAAGAAGGCCCAGGGAAGGTCCGGAGCCGCTTGGCAGCTGCTCCCTCTGCTCCCCACGGATGGCCTTGGGCACCACTGACCCTGGCGCAAAGAGCACCGGGGAAAGCAGATCCAGTCGGGCAGCTCCAGACACTTGCAGGGCAGAAGGCCCCCCGGAGTACACGGAGGCAGCGTAATGATGAACGTTCCTCGGAGTGTGTGCAGAATGCATTTCCAGTTGCTGAGCAGAACAATGGAAGAAGGAGATTGTCCTCCTGTCCGTGTTGGTGAACTTCCTGGATGCATCTGGGACCCAAAATGCTGGACTAGGGAAGCCCTGGGCCTCATCAGCCTCTCAATTTGCCTGCACCAGCTGGCTCTCTGACTTTGGACATAACTTGAAAGACTGCTAATGTTTCTTCCTAGGAAGGTTATTTCTCTATAAAGCACTTCACTAGGATTATGTTTAATAAGATATTTTGTATTTTTTGAAGAGTTGGGTGGATCTGCTTTTGTTCCAGGGTGGGGAACCCAGGCGAGACACTGCCTGCACTACAGAATGGATAAGGTGGGAGAAAGAGAGACGGTATGCTCTGACAAGGCAGGATGAAATGGTATATTAAAGGAACACCTAAAATAAACCACTGGGCCAGGTATCCTGAAGCATGAGAGGTCCAAGGGAGCAGTGCCAGCCCTCTGTGGGGGTTGGAGTGGGGCCCCTGCTCAGCCATGTCACTGACAAGGGAAGCTTGGGCAGTCACTCTTGCTCAGCCTAACCTACAAGGTTAGGATGAGGATAACAGGAGGAAGGTTGGGAAGAAAAACTTTACTGACAGGGCACACTGCCCCAAGGAAGATTGGGGCAGATGATGGTGACCATGCCTCCAAGCAGTCTCATGGGGATCCACGTCTGTGGCGCCCTGAGGTTCATCCACAGGTAGCTGGCCTTGGAGGGCCCATCCCGCCTTAGATGACCAGCTGGGATGGTCCTGCCTTCACCACTCTCAGACAGCCCTGGCCAGCTGCCTTGCCCCCTGCAGCTGAAAGCCTCTCGTGTGGGGCAGAGACACTTACATGGTCTCCTGATCCAGTTCCTCATCACCATAGTTGATGTTGTCACTCATGGAACATCGAGGCTCTGCTGTGGGGGGAAGAGAAGCGGGGAGAGTGAGACTGGCAGCTCTGAGGGCTTGGGATGGAGATAAGAGTTGGTGGAGCTGGCGGTAAAGCCCCCCGAGAGCAGACCACCTACCCTGTCGAAAGACATTGGAGCTAGAAGAGATCCCTCGTTTATTTATTTATTTATTTATTTATTTATTTATTTATTTAT